GGGGAGGTATTTATTAAAAACTGGAAAAATCCAAATTTAAGTTGTTGCCCATAGTAACTATTAATGTTACATTGTATACAATCTGGGAACTTAAATAAAGAATGTGATCACTATGAACAACATCTTCACTTGTATTCTAGTTTTTTCCTCCACCTTTTTTATTTATTTATTTTTTAATATTGAGCCCTCTTTTTGTGCTCCCGTAGCCAAAATTATTTAAATTACACAGTTGTCTAGTGTTATCCTTTAAATTGTTGGCACTGGGAGTTCAGATTGTTTGTGTTGTTAATACCTGAAATTGATTTTCATCTTTTCTCACCCAGATGTCCTATTTCAGGTTATCAATCACAGTAGTGTCATGGAAATTTTGTATTTACAGGTTGAACTTTAGATGTGTCATATATTAGTGTTATTCATGTGTCTCTCGTGTGGCTTAAGTAAAGCTCTGAAGGCTGCAATTGGGCCATGCGCATTTACAATGTATATATTACAGTACTCAGCTCGGTAATGGAGGAGATGGCAGATCTGCGCTTATAGACCGGAGTGTATACCACCACGGCATTCGATGCGAAAGCCGCCGGCGGTAGGCCGTGGGCCTGTATCCACATATCAGCAGCATAGTACCACATGGACTTCGTACCGCAAGGCGCCAAGCAGTGCGAACTCCGTGTGTAGGCTCATGTATATCTTACAAGCCATTACCAACCTGAAACTGTATCTGGATGGATGTGTTTTAATAAAGATCGTATCGGGCCCATTCAGATACAGACTGGCACTGCTTAATCTAGGGGATACTTGTACAGATAATTTACATACCACTAGGAGCTAATAGGGTGGGAAGTTTACTCTCCTCAAAGAGTTCATGGGGGGGAGGGGAGGACTGGTGTAAAGGGGGAAGGTTGCTTCCCTCAGAGAGCTCACGGAGGGGGGGGGAGGACTGGTGATAGATAATAGGAAAGGCTGCGCTCCAATCGGAATGTACATCCTGTGTATAGGCACTCCCCATGCATTGTTCTATGGGAGGGGATTGACCTTTACTCATGTGGGGGGCGTGTGTGTGTGTGTAATAAAAAAGGGGGCTGAGTCTGAAGCCAGCCTCTATGTGAATTCCAACAGCAACCTGAGAGTGTTGTGTGATCATTCCCAGGTAACTGGAGCTCCATTTCCCCACAATTCTGAGATAGCTAAACCAGTTGGAGGCGCAGGAATGGAGTAAGCTGCAGTCGTGGTAAGCGAGAGATTCGCACAGCTTTATGGGGGATTGCTGCGCATCCAACTGCGAGTACTCACGGTAAGGAGAAATTCGTTAAAAGCGAATTTCCAAGACAGTTTGGCGAGCCAGCCAGGAGACTAACGCGAATTCTGGGATAGCTAGGGGGGGGGGAATGAGCCATCATGAACTAGCAAAAAGTATGCTGGCACATTTCAGGTCTCTCTGCCATTAAGAGGATCGCTTTTTGTGCATTTGTGTGGCTGATTTCGCTCTCTGTTAGCTAACGTGAATTCCGCTTAGCAAGGACCTAGTTGTTCTAAAATCTTGATTTGTGGGTGAAAGACAAGGGTTTTTCTCTGCTGAGAGCAGCAGAGGGGTGGGTTTGGTTGGCTGGATTTGGTCAAGTTTAAAAATCTTCCAACCAAAAATTAAACGGGTATATGTTTTAGCGGGGTAAAAGTTTTTTTTTGCATAGTGTTAGGTAAGTATTTGCGGGGTTATAGGTACTGTGGTAATTGGATAATGAATAATGAATTAAAGCGAGCGCTCAGAAAAACCAGTGCTGGAACACTTCAAGGTTATCACTAAACCTCATAATGAAGACAATATGTGTATAGTGCAGCGCTGAAAAAGTAATAAATTGAAATGTATAAAACATGTAACATGTTAAATATATATTTGGTGTCTTTCTGTTCATGATAATATAGTCGAATATGTGCAGGTATTCTCCTCATTAGGTGACTGGAAAATAACAAGATTGCGCACTTCACCGTCGCAAAAGTCATTTAAAATGCGCCTGTGTATGATATATTCCAAAAGACCAGCCAGGTATACAGCTCCAGAGACCACACGGATCCTCCCTCTTCAACACTCTCGTGGGGAATGCCTTGGGTGTAGCAATATCTCCAGATCCAAAGGTAGAAAGACAAAGATCCCCCTTTTTTGGTTCCAGACACCCCAAGAATGGAAGATGTATATCTGCACTCTCCAACAGGAGAGTCAAAGAAAAAGGGGAACGCCAATAGTGTGGTACTATCAAAAACTTTATTGGAGCAATAATGCCTGGGTCATATGCACACATATATCCACACACCATAAGCCAATAACGGACAGGTAGGTATGAAAGGAAAATAGTAGTACTAACCCGGCAATGGCATAAAAACGAAGACCACCAGACCTTCTTGGTCTCAGTGGTCTGGAAGTCACACTTGCTACTTGGCTCCTTTTGAGGCCTTTCGTGCAAAAAGCACTTCTTCAGAGGATGGACGCCAATTGCTTTACCCCCTCCACATGTGATAGTAATTATTACAGTACTGAAAGATTTAGGTTAATCGTTAACTGTTGTAAGATCTTTGTGTGTATATAGTCTGTGCAGTGTTTTGTCGGTACTACTGCTCCCAGCAAGCATGCAGCAGTGGGTCCTTTCTGTTACATGCGCATGTTAGTGTGATATGTTTGTTTTTTTATTTCATGTCTGTTCTGTGATTGTGCCAAATTGTGTTGTATGTGTACTGTATATTGTTGTGTAATTGTCCAGTGTATGTTTTGTCCAAAAGTCTGTTTTATGTAAGAGGTTAGAGGCAATTTTAAGGCTAGTGTCTGCCGTGTGTTTTCTCTGTGTGGTGGTCATTCTAGTGTCTGCCATGTGCTTTCTCTGATGGTGGCCATTTTACTGACTGCCATGTGCTTTCTGTTGGTGGCCATTTTGTTGACTACCACATGTGCAGTGATCTCTATGCAATGTGTATGCAGTTTTCTATATGCATTTGACCCATTTTGTGTTTTTAATCCAAATTTTTTACAGTTTAAGTTGTTTTCTTTTAGCTTTAAATTTGCGTATTGCCAGCCAATTTAAAGTGTGTTAAGCGAGTTTTTCCCCTCACGTGTTCCACATTTAGTGAGCGCGGTGAAGTCTGGGTTTTTTTGCACATACATAGATTTCTTGTATAGTGATTATGTTTTTCTTGTGTTTTTTCTTGTTAAAAGTAGTTCCTTATTGTAAAGCGGGTTTGTTTTAAAGCTGCTGCGTTGCGTGTTTCGCGTCCAGCAGACTTTTTGTGTAAACGCTTTTTTAGGTGGTTGCAGCGAAGATCGCGTGTGTAACGCGGATCCTTTAGCGGCGCTGGTAGGAGTGATTTTCGCCTTAGCAACAGGGTTTATTTTGGAGCAGTTTTTTTCGGTTTACCTCTGTGTAATTGTTTTACTGCGAAACGTCCCGTGTTTTTTCCATAAGGCTCCACTTTGTCCTTTTTAACGGTTTTTTTCAAGTTGAAAAGGGGTTTTTCTGTGTGTATTAGGAAAGTTTTTTTCTTTACACAAATTTTCCTAAAGGTCAGTTAGCAGGTTTCCGGGCAACCAGTGACCCCTAAGTAACATCCAAGAACCCCTCCTTTTGGTTTGACTTGTGTTAGCTACTGTGTGCAGGGAGAGAAAAGCCACTTTCATCATTGTGCGGTGTGGCCTGCCAAACACAGTGGGTGATGAGAACCACATAAATTGCGCTGTGCGAGTGGGCGGTCCAGGGAAGTGTAACGCTTAGCCTGGTTACCACAAACACTTCGGGTGGTCAGGATCACATAAATTGCGCTGTGGGAGTGGGAGGTGTGCTCTCAGTCTGACCGCCACTTGATGCGCTTCGGGTGATCGATAAGAATCACATAAATTACGCTGTGCTGGGAAAGTGGTGGAATCAGGCCTCTCGGTAGGATCCCACCGAGTGCTCCAGGGGGTAAACAGGTACCCGGGACGCGGGGATATATACCAGTGACTAGTCACGATGGGCAGTAGTCAGTCCATGAAGAGAGAGGGGGACCAGCCCTCTTCAGGGTAAGGACAGCTGCACAACTGATGAAGGAGAGTTTGGGGGGGAAGTCTACAGAACCCCTCAAAAGGTGGAATAAATGGTCGAAGGGTACCAGATGGGAAATTCCCCGGGAAGGTACATTTGACGCATGGAGGTGGGAAAAATTCATCTCTGAATTTGAACCACGGATGCAGGCGTCAGAACTAGAGATCGCACAGCTATGGCTTCACAGGTCAATCCGATTAGGGAAGCAGGGCATACATAAACTGGTGTCTGTCCGGAAGAACCAGGTGATGTATACCTGGCCTCCAGAGGGAATAAAACAGGAGGATCCAGTGTCAGAGGTGGAGGAAGCTCTTTCAGGGCTGACTCTACTAAGGCAGGCAGGGTCAGGGTCTGCTGGGGTTCCCGAACAACCAACAGTGGCTGAGATAAGTATAACTGCACCTGTCTCTTCTGCTAGTGACGTCACTCTTGACGTACCTTTCGTGTCTTCTATATCTATGCCTCAGCCTCTACCTCTCCCTTCTTCCTGCTTCACCCCAGCTCCTTCTGTTTCCAACTACGAAGTCTTCTCAACAACCGATTTGCAGACTATCTGTGAATCAAGGGGAATAGACACCCGGTTAAGAAACAGGGCGGATTGCATCAAAGCGCTACGAGCCACTGATCAGACCCCTGCCCCCCAGCTATACCCTGATCTGAGGGACCTCAAACCTGAAGGTGCAGTAAGCGAGGTGGTTAATCTAAGCCTACCGATGAAGCCAGGCCAGCCCTTGCACTCTTCCCGGACCGAGGCCTATCCAGTCAGGGTGCAGCAATTTGAAGGTTCCTCCCAATGCACAGGGGGAACGGACTTTAGGGGAACGGGTAGTTTTTGGCATGTCCCCTTCACCCCGGCAGAGATCCGCACTATTCTGGCTGAGCTCCCGGACTATCGAGTCAATCCGAGAGGATTTGCTCGAATGTTTGGACAAAACCAGTTCAGCTATGGTATGAGCGGGTCAGATTGTGCGCAGATCAGTATGACATGCAGATGAGTGCCGTCGATCTTAGAATCACCGCACACTTCACTCATTTGGGCAGTCACGGGGCCAAAACCAGAGTGTGTGAGCCACAGTACGGCGGTGGAGGCAGCAGCAATGGGAGGCCATACAGCACCCTATGACAAAAATGGAACCCACCAGCAGTGTGAGGAGACCTGAAAGTGGCACATGGCAGAGTGTGGCGATGGAGACAGCAGCAATGGGAGGCCGTACAGGGACCCATGACACACTCTGGACCTGGCAGCAGCATTAGGAGGCGGTACAGGGGCCCATGGGCCTGGCAGCAGCAATGGGAGGCAATCTGCCAGCACCCTGGCAGGAACACACCAGCAGTGTGAGGAGACCTGAAAGTGGCACATGGGGGCCCGATGGCAGCATTACGGGACCCATGAGAGACTCTGGCCTGGCAGCAGCAATGGGGCGGGCCCGTAATCTGGCCAATGCACCCTATGACCCTAAATGGAACACACCAGCAGTGTGAGGAGACCTGAAAGTGGCACATGGCAGAGTGTGGCAGCGATGGAGACAGCAGCAATGGGAGGCCGTACAGGGACCCATGAGAGACTCTGCCCGCCTTGACCTGGCAGCAGACATTAGGAAGGCGGTACAGGGGCACATGGCAGATTACGGGCCTGGCAGCAGCAATGGAAGGCCCGTAATCTGCCAGCACCCTATGGACAAAATGGAACCACACCAGCAGTGTGTACGGGGACCCATGAAAGTGGCAGCAGCAATGGCAGAGTGTGGCGATGGAGACAGCAGCAATGGGAGGCCGTAATGGGAGGGACCCATGAGAGACTCTGGACCTGGCAGCAGCATGAGGAGGCGGTACGGGGGCCCATGGCAGATTACGGGCCTGGCAGCAGCAATGGGAGGCCCGTAATCTGCCAGCACCCTATGACAAAAAATGGAACCCACCAGCAGTGTGAGGAGACCTGAAAGTGGCACATGGCAGAGTGTGGCGATGGAGACAGCAGCAATGGGAGGCCGTACAGGGACCCATGAGAGACTCTGGACCTGGCAGCAGCATGAGGAGGCGGTACAGGGGGGCCCATGGCAGTTGATTACGGGGCCTGGCAGATTACGGGCCTGGCAGGAGGAGACCTGAAAGTGGCACATGGCAGAGTGTGGCGATGGAGACAGCAGCAATGGGAGGCCGTACAGGGACCCATGAGAGACTCTGGACTGGCAGCAGCATGAGGAGGCGGTACAGGGGCCCATGGCAGATTACGGGCCTGGCAGCAGCAATGGAGGCCCGTAATCTGCCAGCACCCTATGACAAAAAAATGGAACACACCAGCAGTGTGAGGAGACCTGAAAGTGGCACATGGCAGAGTGTGGCGATGGAGACAGCAGCAATGGGAGGCCGTACAGGGACCCATGAGAGACTCTGGACCTGGCAGCAGCATGAGGAGGCGGTACAGGGGCCCATGGCAGATTACGGGCCTGGCAGCAGCAATGGGAGGCCCGTAATCTGCCAGCACCCTATGACAAAAAATGGAAACACACCAGCAGTGTGAGGAGACCTGAAAAGTGGCACATGGCAGAGTGTGGCGATGGAGACAGCAGCAATGGGAGGGCCGTACAGGGACCCATGAGAGACTCTGGACCTGGCAGCAGCATGAGGAGGCGGTACAGGGGCCCATGGCAGATTACGGGCCTGGCAGCAGCAATGGGAGGCCCGTAATCTGCCAGCACCCTATGACAAAAAATGGAACACACCAGCAGTGTGAGGAGACCTGAAAGTGGCACATGGCAGAGTGTGGCGATGGAGACAGCAGCAATGGGAGGCCGTACAGGGACCCATGAGAGACTCTGGACCTGGCAGCAGCATGAGGAGGCGGTACAGGGGCCCATGGCAGATTACGGGCCTGGCAGCAGCAATGGGAGGCCCGTAATCTGCCAGCACCCTATGACAAAAAATGGAACACACCAGCAGTGTGAGGAGACCTGAAAGTGGCACATGGCAGAGTGTGGCGATGGAGACAGCAGCAATGGGAGGCCGTACAGGGACCCATGAGAACTCTGGACCTGGCAGCAGCATGAGGAGGCGGGGGTACAGGGGCCCATGGCAGATTACGGGCCTGGCAGCAGCAATGGGAGGCCCGTAATCTGCCAGCACCCTATGACAAAAAATGGAACACACCAGCAGTGTGAGGAGACCTGAAAGTGGCACATGGCAGAGTGTGGCGATGGAGACAGCAGCAATGGGAGGCCGTACAGGGACCCATGAGAGACTCTGGACCTGGCAGCAGCATGAGGAGGCGGTACAGGGGCCCATGGCAGATTACGGGCCTGGCAGCAGCAATGGGAGGCCCGTAATCTGCCAGCACCCTATGACAAAAATGGAACCACACCAGCAGTGTGAGGAGACCTGAAAGTGGCACATGGCAGAGTGTGGCGATGGAGACAGCAGCAATGGGAGGCCGTACAGGGACCCATGAGAGACTCTGGACCTGGCAGCAGCATGAGGAGGCGGTGGGGTACAGGGGCCCATGGCAGATTACGGGCCTGGCAGCAGCAATGGGAGGCCCGTAATCTGCCAGCACCCTATGACAAAAAATGGAACACACCAGCAGTGTGAGGAGACCTGAAAGTGGCACATGGCAGAGTGTGGCGATGGAGACAGCAGCAATGGGAGGCCGTACAGGGACCCATGAGAGACTCTGGACCTGGCAGGCAGCAGCATGAGGAGGCGGTACAGGGGCCCATGGCAGATTACGGGCCTGGCAGCAGCAATGGGAGGCCCGTAATCTGCCAGCACCCTATGACAAAAAATGGAACACACCAGCAGTGTGAGGAGACCTGAAAGTGGCACATGGCAGAGTGTGGCGATGGAGACAGCAGCAATGGGAGGCCGTACAGGGACCCATGAGAGACTCTGGACCTGGCAGCAGCAGCATGAGGAGGCGGTACAGGGGCCCATGGCAGATTACGGGCCTGGCAGCAGCAATGGGAGGCCCGTAATCTGCCAGCACCCTATGACAAAAAATGGAACACACCAGCAGTGTGAGGAGACCTGAAAGTGGCACATGGCAGAGTGTGGCGATGGAGACAGCAGCAGCAATGGGAGGCCGTACAGGGACCCATGAGAGACTCTGGACCTGGCAGCAGCATGAGGAGGCGGTACAGGGGCCCATGGCAGATTACGGGCCTGGCAGCAGCAATGGGAGGCCCGTAATCTGCCAGCACCCTATGACAAAAAATGGAACACACCAGCAGTGTGAGGAGAGACCTGAAAGTGGCACATGGCAGAGTGTGGCGATGGAGAGGCAGCAGCAATGGGAGGCCGTACAGGGACCCATGAGAGACTCTGGACCTGGCAGCAGCATGATGAGGAGGCGGTACAGGGGCCCATGGCAGATTACGGGCCTGGCAGCAGCAATGGGAGGCCCGTAATCTGCCAGCACCCTATGACAAAAAATGGAACACACCAGCAGTGTGAGGAGACCTGAAAGTGGCACATGGCAGAGTGTGGCGATGGAGACAGCAGCAATGGGAGGCCGTACAGGGACCCATGAGAGACTCTCTGGACCTGGCAGCAGCATGAGGAGGCGGTACAGGGGCCCATGGCAGATTACGGGCCTGGCAGCAGCAATGGGAGGCCCGTAATCTGCCAGCACCCTATGACAAAAAATGGAACACACCAGCAGTGTGAGGAGACCTGAAAGTGGCACATGGCAGAGTGTGGCGATGGAGACAGCAGCAATGGGAGGGCCGTACAGGGACCCATGAGAGAGCAGCACTCTGGACCTGGCAGCAGCAGAGGAGGCGGTACGGGGCCCCCATGGCAGATTACGGGCCTGGCAGCAGCAATGGGAGGCCCGTAATCTGCCAGCACCCTATGACAAAAAATGGAACACACCAGCAGTGTGAGGAGACCTGAAAGTGGCACATGGCAGAGTGTGGCGATGGAGACAGCAGCAATGGGAGGCCGTACAGGGACCCATGAGAGACTCTGGACCTGGCAGCAGCATGAGGAGGCGGTACAGGGGCCCATGGCAGATTACGGGCCTGGCAGCAGCAATGGGAGGCCCGTAATCTGCCAGCACCCTATGACACAAAAAATGGAACACACCAGCAGTGTGAGGAGACCTGAAAGTGGCACATGGCAGAGTGTGGCGATGGAGACAGCAGCAATGGGAGGCCGTACAGGGACCCATGAGAGACTCTGGACCTGGCAGCAGCATGAGGAGGCGGGAGGCGGTACAGGGGGCCCATGGCAGATTACGGGCCTGGCAGCAGCAATGGGAGGCCCGTAATCTGCCAGCACCCTATGACAAAAAATGGAACACACCAGCAGTGTGAGGAGACCTGAAAGTGGCACATGGCAGAGTGTGGCGATGGAGACAGCAGCAATGGGAGGCCGTACAGGGACCCATGAGAGACTCTGGACCTGGCAGCAGCATGAGGAGGCGGTACAGGGGCCCATGGCAGATTACGGGCCTGGCAGCAGCAATGGGAGGCCCGTAATCTGCCAGCACCCTATGACAAAAAATGGAACACACCAGCAGTGTGAGGAGACCTGAAAGTGGCACATGGCAGAGTGTGGCGATGGAGACAGCAGCAATGGGAGGCCGTACAGGGACCCATGAGAGACTCTGGACCTGGCAGCAGCATGAGGAGGCGGTACAGGGGCCCATGGCAGATTACGGGCCTGGCAGCAGCAATGGGAGGCCCGTAATCTGCCAGCACCCTATGACAAAAAATGGAACACACCAGCAGTGTGAGGAGACCTGAAAAGTGGCACATGGCAGAGTGTGGCGATGGAGACAGCAGCAATGGGAGGCCGTACAGGGACCCATGAGAGACTCTGGACCAGCAGCAGCAGGGAGGCGGTACAGGGGCCCATGGCAGATTACGGGCCTGGCAGCAGCAATGGGAGGCCCGTAATCTGCCAGCACCCTATGACAAAAAAATGGAAACACACCAGCAGTGTGAGGAGACCTGAAAGTGGCACATGGCAGAGTGTGGCGATGGAGACAGCAGCAATGGGGGAGGCCGTACAGGGACCCATGAGAGACTCTGGACCTGGCAGCAGCATGAGGAGGCGGTACAGGGGGGCCCATGGCAGATTACGGGCCTGGCAGCAGCAATGGGAGGCCCCGTAATCTGCCAGCACCCTATGACAAAAAATGGAACACACCAGCAGTGTGAGGAGACCTGAAAGTGGCACATGGCAGAGTGTGGCGATGGAGACAGCAATGGCATGGGAGGCCGTACAGGGACCCATGAGACACTGTGGACCTGGCAGCAGCATGAGAGGAGGCGGTACAGGGGCCCATGGCAGATTACGGGCCTGGCAGCAGCAATGGGAGGCCCGTAATCTGCCAGCACCCTATGACAAAAAATGGAACACACCAGCAGTGTGTGAGGAGACCTGAAAGTGGCACATGGCAGAGTGTGGCGATGGAGACAGCAGCAATGGGAGGCCGTACAGGGACCCATGAGAGACTCTGGACCTGGCAGCAGCATGAGGAGGCGGTACAGGGGCCCATGGCAGATTACGGGCCTGGCAGCAGCAATGGGAGGCCCGTAATCTGCCAGCACCCTATGACAAAAAATGGAACACACCAGCAGTGTGAGGAGACCCTGAAAGTGGCACATGGCAGAGTGTGGCGATGGAGACAGCAGCAATGGGAGGCCGTACAGGGACCCATGAGAGACTCTGGACCTGGCAGCAGCATGAGGAGGCGGTACGGGGGCCCATGGCAGATTACGGGCCTGGCAGCAGCAATGGGAGGCCCGTAATCTGCCAGCACCCTATGACAAAAAATGGAACACACCAGCAGTGTGAGGAGACCTGAAAGTGGCACATGGCAGAGTGTGGCGATGGAGACAGCAGCAATGGGAGGCCGTACAGGGACCCATGAGAGACTCTGGACTGGCAGCAGCATGAGGAGGCGGTACAGGGGCCCATGGCAGATTACGGGCCTGGCAGCAGCAATGGGAGGCCCGTAATCTGCCAGCACCCTATGACAAAAAATGGAACACACCAGCAGTGTGAGGAGACCTGAAAGTGGCACATGGCA